TATTGCATTGTCAAAATGCAAGCTTTGTCCACTGTGCATCATGTTCTCTGCATGTACAAAAGAGGTTCAGATTGAATTGGACCTCGCTTGATATAATCTTTAAGGTATTGGAGATCATAGCTCTAATGTTCCCTTAGACATGAAAGCTGGTTGGATCATTTGGGGCAAATTCCCAACCCACCTTATATAGTTGTGAGGAAAATAGGAGATGGGAGCCTTACATATGCCACTTTGAACTGTACAAAATAAATACAGAATATTCTAACCAAAATTCATGTTGGAGAATGAGCAAGGACACATCCATAGGAAGGAGACTTCTATAAAGCTCTGTGCATATTTAGTATATTGCAAAATTAATGCCAAAAAAATGGTTAAGATTGTTAGACGATTCCTTCCTTCCTGTTACTTAATGCCCATAAAGTAGTTGAATAATACATTTTTCTGTTTTTCTCCTTTGCTCTGAAATACCTCACTAAAAAAAAAACACCATACCTGGCACCAAACCTGTATTAGAATAGTAGTCATGATGTATTTAAGCAGCCGTCTCCTGGATTATACAAATCAAAGGAACACCTGGAAAATGACAGTTTCAATATTTACTAGATCGCCTGTACCCTGTTGGGTCATCATTTCAGAAATATTTCCTTATCTAAACAGAGAAACAGATTGACCAAGGGCAGGCAAAAGTGGTGGGAGCGGGAACAATTTCCAACTTCCTGCCGGTGTCCCCATTGCAGAAGAGAGATTTGATTAATTCCTACAGAATTATCTGATGCTCTGCCCTTGTTCAGGTGAACACAAGAACTCATTTGAAACTCAATACATTAGCTAAATTATACAAACAAAACACCCTTGAAGCCATTTAAACCCAACTGCCGTGGTAGCTGTGGATTTCTGCATTGGTTAGGGCAGGGGTGTCAAACTCATGTCATCATGGCAGTGTCATATGATGTATCAGGACTTTTTCTCCCTTCACTAAATTGGGTGTGGGAGTGGCCAGTGCGTACGGCCCACGGACCAGAGTTTGATAGCCCTGGGTTAGGAAGTTGAAATAGGTTTTATCCAAGATGCCTTCTGACTATTAACTTCTGATCTAGGTTTCACTGTGACTATATGGATTTTTAAAGGCAAAAACAGGAAACTTAACAGTATTTGCCAGTGGCTTATTCCAGAACTTTATGATTTAAGAAATCAAGGACTATGAGTCTAATTAGGACTAGGAATTAGGACTAGGAGTCTAGCCAAAGTCTTAGAACTTTCCAATGGTTTCCTATTCTTGTCCTTGTTTAACTTTTTGAGACCAGAGTAAACTTGCTGCATCTTGCAGTCCTCAAAAAACATGCTGTGAGCTATTTTAGCTGAATTTCTGTTTCACAATAACATCACTGATGGGTTTTGAACATCATTCTAAGTCATCATATGATTGGCTTTGAACACAACCATCATGCTGTGTAGATTGTGGCTTAAAGTTAGGTATGAAATTCAATCTGTTGAAATTCAGTCGACAAACCCTAGTTTAGCATGTCTTGTTGCATTGTAAGATGTATTATTTCATAAGCTTAGATGGAGAAGACATGTTGCATTAGACTACTGCATGCTATCCCAGTTTTAAGAGGATGTACATTTATATACATAGTTGTGCAGGGCAATGGCGATTTTATTAGGTATTTGCTGAGGAACTGAAATACTAAATATACAGGCAATGCCTCTCATCTTTCATATGTTTCAAGTTAGCTTCAAGCAAAGGTTGTATTCAGCAGGTTCTGACCAGTTCTGGAGAACCAGTAGCAGAAATTTTGAGTAGTTTGGAGAACTGGCAAGTACCACCTCTGACTGGCCCCACCCCCATCTATTCTCTATCTCCTGAGTCCCAGCTGATCCGCTGGGTCTTCTTTTGTTGCCCTGCACAGGAGAACAGAGCTGGAAAGCAGGTTAGTGGGGTGAGGATGGAATGGGATTTTGCAGTAACCTTCCCCTGCCACGCCCACCAAACAATGACCACAGAACCGGTAGGAAAATTTTGAATCCCACCACTGGTTTCAAAGCAACTTAAAAAACGTCTGACATCCATCTTGCCATGCCATTAAAGGTGGCGTTCTGTTATGCTTAGAGGACAACTCCATGCTGGCTGCAAACGAGAGTCCAAACTAGAGCAAAGCCTGATTCTTACTTCACATGGTTGAAAAGGGTACCTTGACACAGAAAAGCAAACCCGTGGCTGAACTTTGATGCTAGGGACACTTTACCACCTGAGGGGTGGGGGGTCTTCTTCACAACCGAACCCCACATTGGAACATTTCCAGGAGGGTAACAAAGAAAAGAGCTTCAAGCCAGAGGTGGTATTCAGCAGTTTCTGACCAGTTCTGGAGAACTGGTAGTGGAAATTTTGAGTAGTTCGAAGAACTGGCAAATACTACCTCTGACTGGAGATTTTACAGTACCTTCCCCTGCCATGCCCACCAACCTACGCCCACACAACCGGTAGTAAAAAAAAATTGAATCCCACCACTGCTCCAAGCGTGTCCCTTCTATCGGCCTTTTGCTCAAACCCTTTGGTTGCATTCAAGCAGCCGTTAAAACAAACAAACAAACAAAAAACACCTCAGGTTCCAGAGTCCACGTGGGAAACGGCACCCCAGCCTCCGGGAGCGGTTTCCTAATCAGCTTTGCGCCCCGGCAAATTAAAAGAAAAAAAAAAAAAGCGCAAGCGCGTGGCGACTTGTCAAGGCCCGCCTCAGCTCGCGCCGGTTCGGCTGGGCAACGAGGCTTTCCGGCCATCCTCCCGCGTGGGCTGCTCAGCAGCCTGCTGTAATGCTGCAGAAGCGATGGGCGCCCGCGTGAATTCGGAGCTGCTGGCGTGGGAATGGTTGATAAAGATGCTAGGGGAAAAAAATGACCTGAAGCAGAGGGTTTAGGCAGAAGAACTCCAATGACTCTCAAAAGGAGGACAAATCCACCTCAGGTGCCCTCAGAAAAAACGCTACCTCCGCATTCGGGGGAGAGGCTTAGGAGGAGGCGTCACTCCAGAGCCCCCCATCTCCCCCGTCTTCTGGTGGTTGGACTTCCGAGTAGCCAAAAAAGCACCTGAGCCTCATTAGAGATATTTGTGGGGGGGGAGGCCCCAAAGGACCGTTCCGTGCGCGAATTCTGGAGACGCCTGGAAGTTGCTTCCCAGGGAAGTTTGTGAACGTGGACTCGCCGCTTGAAAAGAAAAGGGGAAGGGGGAAAAAAAAGCGCGTGCGTTTTGCAGAGCGCGCGTGTTTCTCCCACCATAAAACTTTGTCCCAAGTAAAAAGCGTTTGGTTTAAAATAATAATATGCCACTTAGCCTCCTGGAAAAACTGGAGCCGGGCTGAACGCAGAACATCAAGCTTTGATTTGGGGCGGGAGGGCCCGGCCCTCCCTTTTACATACTCCGTTGCTGTCCAGCCAATGTATGGGAATTGGATAGGTTAGGAAGCAATTGTGAGCTGTGATACAGGACATACTCGGCGAATTCAAGTAAAGTAAAAAAAATATAAATATAAATAAATAAATAAATAAATAAATCCCAATCAGATTTACTTTGATCTAAGGCCGCGCTGCTCTTTCTCCCTCCCTCCCTCTTCTGTGAGCTCCTGACTCAATTGCGGCTTCAAAGTTCCTGGTCCGCATCGTTTTCTGCCCTACTGCATACCCACGGATCCAGGAGTGTCGCAGACCAGTAAAAAAAAAAAGAAGAATTTTGTGTGTGGTGTGTCTGCGTGTCGGTCCTGGTGAGAGAGCGCGGCGATTCAATTTGCCTGGATCAGGCTGGGTGTGGGGGGTAGCTTCTATTGCAGCAGGTAATGTTGAGCGCTAGGACCTGGGAGAGCCCCCTCCGCCGCCCGCAAGCTGGACTACCTTAAACCCAGCCCAATGCCTCTTCCTGCGCCACTTTTCCCTGCGTGCTTGGATGGGAGAGCCACAGACGAGAGCCGCAGCAGCTCGGGGCTGGAGTACAACATCGCCCGGCCAGCTCTGCCGAAGCTACACCTGTTCCGAGGCAACTCGAGGAAAAGATCATCGCCACCTCTCCCCACCCCACCCCGCACTTTGGACGGGAGCTGCCTTCCCTCTTGCCTGGGTGGTTCGAGGCTGGAACGTCGGCCGGGCTGAACCGAGGAGCATCCGCGTAGGATTCTGGATAATAGATCTGGACGTCAAAAAAGTTTTTTAAAAATATTATTTTCAGAAATCCCGTTCTCCTTTCGCGGGGAGGATTTACCTCGGCCAGCAAATGTGAATGTCCCCCCCCTTTATTCTTCTCCCCCCCCTTTCCCCTCCTTTTTAGGATTCATGCTGATAGATGCAGCCTGGTATAGACTAAAAAGAGCGCATGTCTTTGGGGAAGCAGAACCCATAAAAAAAATGCCTGGCGTCGGGCCGGGAGTCTGAGATGCCATATATCGATAATGTATGTCCCCGCTACCCTCTGTAACGCCTAAGGCGCCGAAGTTGCTATGGTCATTCCGCTCCTCAACCCCATGGAGAAACTACGGATTTTCATTCTTTTTTACGGCTGAATGGGCAGAAGACCTCACCGCCTGTTAAGAGCCCCGGGAGCGTAGACCTCGTCCGCTGCTTCTAGAGCCACAACCCGAGGGGGCCGAGAGCTATGTCCCGGTGCGGAGCGAGCGCGCTGCTTTTTTCAGACTGAGGTGGCGATTTGACCTTGAACCCTGAGGCCAGCCAAAACTGCGGGCTACTTTTATTCTGGTGTCATTTTTTTTTTTTTAGTGTGGAATCCGTGCGATTATTGATGGATTAAAACAGAAATCTTTTTTTCCCCTACCCACCTTCTCTCAACGTAACTGCAAGTGGAAGGGGGAAGAACGGAGTGGAAACACGCTCTTTTTTAAAAAAAATATATATATTAAAGGGGAAAAAAATCTTAGGTTGGGCACCAGCGATTACAATTTGCTGCCAAAAAAAGGAGAAGCGCTTACCTTCCCCCCCTCCTCCTCCCCTCCCCGCTCCTGATGGCTCCTTTAGCTGAAGTTGGGAACTATCTCGGGGTCCAAGACGCGGGCCCCTTTGGGAACGTGCCCGTGTTGCCGGCGGACAGCCCGGTTTTGTTAAGCGACCACCTGGGGCAGTCCGAAGCAGGTGGACTCCCCCGGGGGCCTGCAGTAACGGACCTGGATCACTTAAAAGGCATCCTGAGGCGGAGGCAGCTCTATTGCAGGACTGGATTTCACTTAGAGATTTTCCCCAATGGTACGATCCAAGGAACCAGGCAAGACCACAGCAGATTTGGTAGGTATGGGCGCTTAACCCCCTGGTGGCCGCGGGAGGGCTGTGGCAGAAGTCATCCTGACCCTTTTCCTGCGCAAGGTGGGTGAGTGGGTGGGGGGGGCGGGGAGGAAAAGGAGTGGGCGCTGTTGGTGGATGGCATTGTGGTGAAGCCTCAAGAATTTGCAGACCTCCAGCAAGTGTCCAAGTAAGGGGGTGGGGGGGAAACCAACAACGAGCAGTATGGCGTGGTAAAAATCACAGATGCGGCCCGGCGCTCGCTCTCCCGGCGCTCGCTCGATGAGTAAATGCAAGCCTTAATAACGAGAGGGAAAGGTCCTCTCCGCAGAGGTGCAGCCAGTGAATCAGTTTCCAGTCAGGGCAGGAGTCCACTGCCCGTTTAGCCCGGGCGTCTCTTTAACTCCTAAGTAAGCTTCAAGCAGACGTGCAGAGAATTTGGGCTCTTCACTTTCGTAATTCTCTAACGTGTTTTCGCGATCTGCTCTGCCTACCCCCTTTTCCCCCTATCTGCTTCCATCCACCTGCCTAAACTGCAGCAGAACGTTTCGAAGAGCCGGTTTTGGCCGTCTCGTCGCCGCACTAGCTCTTTGCTGCTGGAGGGACACCCCCCACCTTTTTTTTAAAAAAAAAAGAGAGAAGGGCTGTTCGAACCCAGCTAGCCCCGCTGCCTGTTGGTACCGTCATAATAAACCAAGACGTTTTGGTCCCGCAATAATTCTAGCACGATTCTGTTCTGGGAAGGAAAGGCAGGCTTGGGTTATCTTCGCGTTTCTGTTGCATGGATGGATGTCCGCATGCTTAGATATCCCCGTGTCAAATTAAGGACCCGCGCTGGCTAATAGCTGAACGCAGACTTCGCTTAAAGTTTTTTTTTTTTAAGCCCTCTCTGAAGAAATCTCTGTGACTCAGCATAGACAGCCGGCGAACTTGTTCAGCCTTTCCCCAACTCGCCCGCACTCCAGAGATCCTGGAACCGCAAACGCCTTTGTCCCCCAAGTAGCATGATTTGGGAATGATGGGAGTTGTAGTTCCTATCTCTTGGGGTGGGGGCAGGATGCCATGCCGCGCGTTCAAAGGGACCGTCCGCGCGTTTTGATTTGATATCGCTGGGGTTTAAGTCTGGTTTAATTGTGCGGACTGAACTTTGGAAAGGGGAGAGAATTAAAGCAGCCCCACTTCGGAGAGCCCGGGCTTCAAGGTGCTGTTGGAAGGACTTGACTTGCGGGGAAATCCACCTGACTGCACTTGGCCCAGATCACAAAAGATAAAAAAAAAAAAGTTCAGTGGTGGTTTCCCTCCCCTTTCTGCCGCCATGCTTTAAAGCCAGTTGTTACCCGAACAAAATCTCCCTTTCGTGTCTTTTACTGCTTTCGAGAGCCGTTTGGAAATGCCGCAGTTCTGTAACGAAAGGATGCCCTTCGAAGGGGAAACATGTACCAGGTATTGTTATAACGCCCCCTCCTCACACACACACACACACACACATCTCCTTTTATTCTTGCCTAAATTGGGTCTCCTTAGCTTTGAGGACACACACCCGCTTTTCAGCCCCCCAACACGGTTTTCGAAGAGAACTGCGAAGCTGCTAGGAACCAACCCCCTTTCCCTTAATTTTATTAAGGTCGTTGAAGTGTAGACGTGGGGGGCGCGCGTGACATTGAAAGGAATCTAAAAGAGGCGGTAGCAATTCCCCGAGGGAAGAAAGTTGGGCGACGAAGCAGGAATGGAGTTTGAGCCTGCTCCGTCTTCCCGCACGCCCCTTTCGCTCCGAAATGGCTTTGCGTGGCCCTTAGATGCAGCTGTTGAGATCTGGTGCAGGGTGTGTGAGAGCGTGGCTGTATGGAGATATATATATATATATATATATATTTCGGGTGCGAAAGTCGGGAGCGGCTGTGTGCTAAAAGGCGAGGTCTGCAAGCCGGGTTTGACGCTCAGCACCAAGCCCGCAGGCTCAGCCGGCAGCAGGTGTACGGTGGCCGGGCTGAAGCTGCCGCCGCCGCCGCTCCCTCGCGCATTTGCGCGGCGGCAACAGCAGCAGCTCGAAGACAATGCCGCGGGGTCCTAAACTCCGCCATTTCCCCTCTCTCTCCACTCGCTTGAGGTGGCCCTGAATTGAATAGGCTCCTTTACAGCTCTTTAAAAAAAAAAAATCTAAGGGGCACTGGCTATGCCAGCGATTCAGAGCAATGCATCATTTGCAGTTAAATTCAAGGTCCTTCCTTTGATTTAAATGGCTATCCATCTTACCTGTTACAACTGGGGGCTCTTAAAGTGTTGATTTTGAAGGGTGGAAGTCTATGAAAAGTTAAGTAGTAGTCCGATGGGAAAAATCCCAGGAGCGCAGATCAGATGGCTGAGAAGACAGTGGCAAATCACTTCTGCATTGTTATCAGGGGAAACACTATGGGCTGTCCACGTGGAGTTGACTTTGATTCAAGGAAAATTCAATTAGGGGACTGTTTATTACACAGAATGGGGAAATTATGCCAGCTAATATTGTTTTATAAATCAGAAACTTTTTTTTTTGCTTCTTTAAATGTAACAAAAATTCATCTGTTTTCTTCACTTGAAAAGAATAGCTTTTGGAGTGGTACACAAGAAAATCTAGAAGATTAGGTAAAGCTATAGGGCTCGATGTGGTGTATCTTTTCTAGCAGGATGTTTGCAGGGTTGCCCCCCCCCCAAAAAAAGGCAAGGGGCACCCACCACCATGAGATCCACCCCCTTCCTTCCTTTTTAAATCAGGGGTCTTAAACTTGACAGCTTTAAGACTTGTGGACTTCAACTCCCAGAATTTTTCCTCCAGTCATGTTAGCTCAGGAATTCTGGAAGTTGAAGTCATGTTCATCACAAAGCACACTGAAAAAAAGATGGTGCTTAGATTGCAGTATGTAGCTGTGATCACCACCTTGAATATTTTTAACACCCCCCCCCCCAACATCCTTGTTTTCTACTGGTGTTGGAATTCAGATCCAGTAACTTTGTGCTGAGTAATAGTGGTTGCTGAAGTTCAAAATGTGTAGAAAGTGCCAGTGTGACCAAATGTCTATTAGAAATAAGTAATAAATACAGGTTTTGCTTCATCACAGCAAATCATGCAGTGAAAATTATATGGCTGCAAACCCCATGACCACCCATTTAGGGCAGATGCCACTGAATTCAGTAGCTATTTACATATAACTTGTTGCTCCATCATTAACTGAATAAATCCAACTTCCTGAGTTGATAGGCCCTATTTTCAGCATGCATATTGTGTGAAGCAAACCCACAGGTGCTATTTCTGAAGCTGTGCAGCCTGCAAGCTGACTTTACAGTATGCCCAGCTGTTGCATAGGAATCCTCATTGTAGATGAACTAGATTAATAGAGCGATAAACATGAAAAAGAAAAGCTGCATGTACAATTCAGATTCCTGGAATGGCACCTGCAGAGCACAGTGATTCCAAAAGAATAAAAACCACCTGTGGTATACATTATATATTTTAGAGTGGGGGAAACCTAGGACAGAGCCTCCCTGAATATCTCTGGCAAGACATCAAGCTTTATATATCTTGACTTCTTTTATATCTAATTTGATTTCTAGATTGTACAGAGACCAGGGCAGTCATGCAGTGATATAAAAGTTTTAGAATATACTTTTTAAAAAGCTTGCCTTGTTATTAAGATCAGTAACAGGGAATTATTCAGTACCATACTTGGATCCACTCTTCTTAAATTAGCTATAGCTGACAGGAAATATCTATTCAAAACAGAAAAATACGGTTCTAGTAGGTTTGGGGACTGCAGTTAGTAGTGCAACTACACTATGCATAATAGCTTCTGAAAAACTCTTCCCCAGTGCATTCCAGGTGTGCAACTTCCAAATTTCCAGTGTATCTAGAAGGCACTGGTTCTGGAAATATTGTTCTAGTGTCTCTCTGTCAATGATTGTATATAGTTTCCAGGTTATTGATCTATCTATTTAGGCTACCACCAGAAGTGTACTGCAAAAATTCAGGCTATTAGTGGTTATTAACCAAGAAGTATAGAAAACTCTGCCATTTTCTAGCAATTTCATCAATTTTTGCATTTGATTTAAAGTCCATTGTACCTTCATGCCAAAGAATCTAACCTATAGATTCGCTGTGGTGTTTACACCCTCCTCACATTAGTAAATGTGTTCAGCGATGTAAAAAGCAAACAAACCCTATGTGCCAGTTTTATCTTGCTGTAAAGTTTACACCGGAATAAATCTGTTTAAACTGTGGTAAAGGGTGTTGCTTTTTCAGCAACATTTTTAGTCTTCTGGTCTTGAAAACCCTGTAACGCGATTCTGGGTGACCAAGCCGGGTTTTTTTTTTTTAACCTGTCACTATACAAAGTATCGCAGTCTCCCAAAATTTGGCAACCATAATCTGTAGAAGTGTGATTGCGTTGGCCCTACTCACTACTACTACACGCATCCCTCGTGGTTTTCTCTGACTGCCCCTCCCCTTTCCGCAGTTAGCTGCTGGCAAAAGGAGAATAGAGAGAGAGAGAGGAGAGAAAATTGACTAAACCGCAAAGTAACCCTCCACGGTTTAGAGTCCAATAAATCCAGCCCGAGTAATTAAAGGCCGCGGGACTGAGACAGAAATTTGGAGCCGCGCGCTCTATCCAGTGAGCTCTACGCAATAGCGGGCAGGGGAGAACCCGGCAGCTGCGTGACAGGACGGTTCGCGCCTCCCGGATAAGGTTGGCAGGGCCAATTCTGACGTAGGGAAACTGTGGTGCAAGGTTATATATGCCCCAAGCGCCGTCCCGACTGGGAGCCGGGGTGGGGGCGCACATCTTCGTGAAGTGCGGAACGTCCTCTTGCGAGATCCTTTCAGCCGCCTGGCAAGACTGCAGTGCACCCACTTAAAACTAGGGAGCTGGGCCAACAGGAATCCGGAACGCCGCCAGGGTGTGTGTGTGGGGGGGGGGGCAAAGAAAGAAAATGCTAACTCTTGGAGGCGCCCCCCCCCCCGGTTGTCCGGAATT